AACCATGTGAATTGGGTCTATATTAAAATCTTCTAGTATTAGTGTAACTATCGGAAAGTAAATCCATATTTTTCACTTTCCTTTCACCTTATCAAGGTACAATGTAGCTTAGTGAACCATGTGCAGGGTCAGCACTTTATTACATTGGCATAAGTTACTCGTTATTTTGAAATGTTTTTCGGTGGCGTGGAGCCTTTCGAAGATTGGATGTTTTTGGTTACTCCTCTCAATGAAAAGGCTTATGAGAATGTATGTGCCATATGTACCAAAGTAGGGAATCAATTCACTAGTTTGTTTAATAAGTATTAGAACCAAGACAAGTTTATACCAGGGAACGAGTTGTATGTCTACAAGAAGAGTGACATGTTGCAGAAGGAGCTTTACCTGAAAAAGAGGTCAGTATCCTTTTTCAAAGAGATGGGTTATGCTAAGGGAGGTGTCCCTTAGAATAAAGCCTCAAAGAAACTATTGAAATGGATTATTGGAACACGCCTATTGATGGACGATAATACCAAGTAATATACAAAGTTCATCTTTGGTAAGCTCCTCATGTCTATATCCTCCGATGCCAATTATTGTTACCTATAACACCTTTGACATTTTGATAATCGTTATATGTAGATCCAATGAAAAGGGAGGAAATAACTCATCAAATGAAGAAGGGAGTTTAAGTTGTCCCAAAATTCTTGTTCCTTCAAATGCTCAAGCACGAGTCAATGTTCCTGCTCCAACTAGAATGATGTGTACTTTACCTGACCTTCTCGACCGAGTTTTCGAGGGGGGTCCGCCTCGGGGCCTACCCTTGATGCGGGATTCTTGAAGATTCTCAAATGAAGTCAAGTTATCTTGGCTCGACCTTGACCCAGAACTCCAAAAGTGCATTGTGCGTCTACTTCGAGAGATGATTCTTATACCTTGCCAATCTGACCGATGAAGCTCTTGAGGAAGAGTTATCAACCCTGGCGTATTACATCCTCCGAGCTTTTGGTGTCTTGGCTATTGGTGGATCCTGTCATTGGGATGTTGTTTTAGCAAATACGCATGGTAAGGAGAATTTTTTTTCCGGATAATGTCTGTAACCTGACGCTTCAGCATGATATGTACTTGTAAGAAGTATAAAAAGCTTATGTTTCTGTTACTAGGATTGGTGATACTTTGAGCCCTTTTATTATTCCTAACTCATTGGTTGAGCAAGTAAAGTTGTTGGTGAGATAAAGGGGAAATAAAGATGAAGCTCTGGATTTCTTCTTAGGTTTCTCTATCTGGTATAAAGGCATCTTATATCCATTCAGGTGGATCTCGAAAACATGTTACTTGAGAATGCCTCTTTGGCCCAAAAGCTAGATGAAGTATTTGTAGCGGTAAAAATCAATGAAGTCGCCACCGAGTATTTACTTATCCCACAGAAGGGAAAGGAAAATCATCGAAGAAAAACCTAAGAAGGAAGAAATCAAGATCTCGCGACCAAGAGGCCTGGTATGGAAGTTGATTAGACAAGGGGAAGGTATTAACATCCCTCTCGTCCGCGGTACTCTATGGGATCCACTCTTTTGTTATGATCAAAGGGTGTGTTATATCTAAAGCTTACGAGCTAAAAGGAAAATTCATGAATGCAGAGTGTATATATAAAGAAAAAGGTTTTATTAGTCGTGCCTGTCTCGGTTGCGAACCTTTGCGCCTACGTACCCTCTTCGTGCAATGAGAGGTCAAGACACTCGTAGTTCACCTAAAATATGTTGGGTTGTTATATTTTTTTTATGAACAATGCTAATTTCGCATTCTACCGCATCTCGACTTTTGAAGACTCATGCTTTGTAGTAGAAAAGAATTAACATGTTCTTACTTGAAAAGGTTTTCAAAGAAAAAAGGCCCGAAGAAAAAAAGGTTTGGATTAGTTAGTGTTTTTTACCTTGAAAAAGGATTTAAGTAATGTTAGAGTGTTTCGAAGTTTACTTAAGAAATGTCTAGCTCTGCAACCTAATTTTTTATAGCAAACTTTCTGGAGTAATTATTTTGTTATAAGCAAGAAATTTCAATTTAAATTCGGGTTTTCATTTCGTGTTCAAGTTAACATTCGATTACAACAACCTTTAGATAATAGCTCAAAAAATTACAACACGACAAACTCAGGACAACTATGCAAAACACAATAACATGATAAGCAGACAAAATAACTAAACACATTATATTATCTAAGAGATAAAAACCATCAACACAATATTGTTTGGTCCAAGCATCATCATCATGACATCAGCTTCACATTTCACCTTTTTCCATGAACGACTTACTCCTTTTTCGTTCCTCACTGTAATTTGCCTTTCTATTTTTCTGATATGTTCACCTTCAGGAATGTCTCCTTCCAACCAGCGAATCAAGTGCCTCTGAAAATGCTCAAATGTCTGCGTGTTCTAGAGTTTGATCTTCATCGGATACTTTGTCGCCGAAAAAATAACATGTACATCTCTTTTGATCAATGAAAACTGTAGTTGTTTAGGTATTGGCATGCATTTTTGGTAAAACCAGGTGTGTGAATGTCATGACTGATGTCATAACATTCTAGTTTAGTTTGTACTGATTCATTAGGTACCTTTGCAGAAAAATATTGTCATACAGGTGCTGATGTTTATAAGTGTGTATCTGAGCATTTTGCAAAAAGATCACATTTACCTAAATCAGTAGACATGTTCTCAAATGTCATAACAAATGTTAAGACATCCTGTTCTGAACTAACAGTTATGCAGTTTGGGTAATTCTGAGTTTTTTCAGGATTATGACTCAGTCTTTCCAGAACAGAAAATGTCGTGGACTTAGGGTTAACCTAGCTCAACCCTAACCTGGTTGATAAAGTCCTGTGACCTAGTCTTAAGGTCAAACAGAATTAACCCTAGCTTTTTGTGGAAACCCTAACTGAAGGTGCAGCTGCTATATATTCAACAGAGCTGCTGTTTTGGAATGTATCCCTTTTTGACAGAAGATCATTTAGAAGCTGTATAGTTTTAACTCTTGTAATCCAAGCAATTATCATTGTGATAAGTGACTTGGAATAGGTTTTAATTGTAAGGGTTGTGTATCACTCAAAGCTTTGAAGCAAGAGTGATTGTATGTCTCTTGACTAAAGCTGTGAAGCAAAGTCAAGTTAGGTTTATGTATCACTCAAAGCTGTGAAGCAAGAGTGTTTGTGTTGCTTGATTAAAAAGCTGTGAAGCATAATCAAGTGTATGTTTTGAAGAGTGTCTTCATCAATTCATTAGTCAAATTGTTTTATGTATCACTGCTGTGATTGAGGGGGGGGGGGGGGGGGGTGAGTAGGAACTCAGGTTTAAGTTGTACTTAGATTGAAGTTGCATTGGGTGGGTCTTAAGTGAAGGAGATAAACTGGTTGGTTTATTCCTGAATTAATATCTCTTATAGTGGATTTCCTCCCTGGCTTGGTAGCCCCCATAGTAGGTGTTGTTGCACACTGAACTGGGTAAACAATTGACTGTGTTCTTTACTGTTTTTGTATTTACTGTCTTATAGAAAGTCAGATACGGTGTCATAACATTGAACGTGACATTGAGTATCTGCAGCCAGAATTTCAAAAACCTTGGCAATGGAGTGGAAAACATTGACAAGGGAGTGGAAGACATTTTCTAAGAGTGATGTGAGAAATGGTGTGAAAAATGGTGAAGATGGATTATTTCATTTATAGAAAACCAAATACAACGGTCAAACTATCTAATATGACACATCCTCCTTAAAATTGCATGCATGCGCCACATTGCATGAAGTGTCATGCAGTGTGGTGCCTCCTCTCTAATTTACATACATGCGTCACACAGAGTGACTTGACTTCAGTGTGGCATTTTTTTTTGTTTGAAAAGTGACTACTTTAATAATTTTTTTGAAAAAGTAATTATTTAAGAATTTTTTTTAATAAATAATTATTTAAAAAAAATTAAATCCTAACTCTTGTCACATTTAATTTTTTTATCCCTTTATAAACGTTATATTTTATTAATTTAAATCAATAAAATTTAAAAAAATTATTTCATTAATTTTTGTTATTCTCGTCAGATGTAATCTATTTTATACACTCTCTGATTTTAATTATAAAAAGTATTTTTAAAATATATTAAAGAATTAACATGTCAAATATATATTTAGTCAAATATATTTGTTATTAAATAAATTTAAAAAATAAATTTTCTATTAAAGTATAGATAAGAGAGAACAAAATAAATATTATATTTTACCAATTTGTTATATTTTTTTTAACAAAAATATAACAATGGTATAATTTTTGTTATATATATATATATATATATATATATATATATATATATATATATATATATATATATATATATATATATATATATATATATATATATATATATATATATATATATATATATATATATATATATATATATATATATAAAAGATATTTAAGTATATTTATCATATTTTTATTGAACAAAAGTATGAATCTCACCTATAAAAATATATTTAAATATTCTATTAATCATATTTAGTAGAATAAATCAATTTAATTTTAAAAATTTATCTAATATTTTTAAATATTTTTTAATATATTTAATTTAATAAATATTGAAATTAACCATCCTCTCATGTATTATGTCATTATCTTATCAAACCATTGTGATCACAATTAATTAAATATTAAAACTTAATTTTTAAACATTATAACTTTTATTTGAATAATTTTATAATTTAAATTTAATATATATTTCTAGATATTTCTAGATATATAAAATATTAAAATAACAAATATTATATTTTTTTGTTATATATAATTTTTTTATCATATCATATCATCATCCTATCGTATTCTTATCTCTCTTGTTATCATATAATTTATTTATAGTAGATTTTAATTATTTATTTAATTTATATTTCCACTAATCAAATCTAGAAGTAAATAAGAGAGGTAGAAACATCTTGATATCAATCTATATATATTTGGTACCAAAGAAAAAAGTTAGGGAGAAAAAGTGATGGCTAGTCTTCCAAGATCTCAAGTATCATTCAGAAGGTCAGGTTCTTCTGGTCTTGTTTGGGATGATAGAATCTTATCAGGAGAATTAATCAAACTCAATCAACAACAACAACAACTCAAGGGTGAAGATGATAGTAATCGTAATAGTAAGATCGAAGAGGTTCACGCCGGAACCACCATACAGAGAAGTAACTCCACCGGCGCTGGCCGAGGATACCGTACCGGAAAAGTCTCCTCGCCGGCGATGGATCCACCTTCTCCGAAAATCTCTGCGTGCGGGTTCTGTTGTCCTTTTGCGAAGAAGAGTCAACGGTCAAAGCCCGATAAACGCTGGTCGAGATAGAGATGGTCGTATATTGAATTGAATCGGTGTGGAAGTTTTTTTTTTCTTCTTTTTCTTTTGAGTTTGGATTATTAATTAGTTGATTGTATTTAATAATTATTATTCGTATGGTATTTGTTTGATGAGATTATGAGAAGTTTTGATCTTTTTACAAATTACAAATCATCCATGTTTGCACGGTTGGTTTTGAATTTCCTATCATTAGTAAACATAACCTTACTAGGTCAAAATTTAGGTTATTTTCATATCAACTTTTAACAAAAGGTTCAAAAGAATATCCTTAAAGATTTTAGTTGTTTATTTAAATAAAAGGAATGTTCATTAGAAAACATAACAGGTTTAAATAAAGAAGAAGAAAAAACTACAACCAATACCGTACGAGGGTTTTTGTTTTTACTTTTAATAATTATTTTTCTCTTTTTTAATTGTACATATATTCATGCTACCTTTAATAATGCATATCAAAAAAATAAAGGCGAATAATCTGATATTTTTATAATTTAGTTGAATAGCCATTATTTATAATTTAATTTAATATTTTAAAGTGGACTTATCATCAAATCGATGAAGATATTAAATTATTAATTTATTCTGAATTATTGATCGAATTGTCTGATCAAACTAATTTAAATAAGATAATTTGTTTGAATAAATTAATTTTTATAATCAAACGTATATATTTATTAAATCGGTTGAATTTAATGATTGAATCTCTAAAAAATATCACAATACTTCTAAAATTTCAAATTTTTAAAAAATATCATTATTCTACAATACTTCTAAAATTTCAAATTTTTAAAAAATATCATTATTCTACAATACTTCTAAAATTTCAAATTTTTAAAAAATATCATTATTCTACACGTTCATTATTTAAATTTAAATTTTAATAAATATAAATTTAAATAAATTATGAACTATGTTTAATTGCGAATAAAGGAAAAATTATTCAATTTTTTTTAAATAAAGTTTAATTTTATTTTTATTTTTATTTTTAAAAAATTTATGAAAATAATATTGTTTTGTCAAAAAAAAAAACATGTATTTGAACCGTCGATTTTTAAAAACCATTAATTTATTGATTTTTTTTATTGATTCAATAACATACTTGATTCAACAATCAAATTAGACTAATGACCCTTCTAATTTCAAATTCGACCGATTAATTTGATTTAATTTTTAAAATACTGATTTAATCATAAAATTCTATAATAATTTAGTTTTTATTAATTTTAAAAATATTTTTACTTAAAATACTGATATCCAACTAAAACTTATAAATATTCAAAAATTTACCGAAAAATAAATATCATTACAAACTAACTAGTAATAAAAATACAAACACGTATATTTTAGATACATAATTTAACATCAATACCATAGTTTTAACCCTTTTTTTGTTACAAAGAGGGTCAAAACCCAAAAAAAAAAATACCATCCGTAAGCTTAACCCTCTTCAAGTAGAGCTTTAACAAAAACTGAACATATGTTAACTTCTCTAAAGATATGACTGACAACCATTTCTCAATACTGTTTTATTGAGAAAGGAATCTTATTAATTAAGGATCTAACCATTGACTTACTGTTATCATCAATGTTAATATCATTAATCACAAGAGAGAGTCAAGATTCACATAAATTGTTTTCACCTCAAATCATTTGAAATTCTGGTATATCAGAACTCAGATATCTTAAGGGATGTCGAGACATCTGATCTGACTTAAACAACAAAGACAAGATATAAACATACAAAAACAATACTAGAAAGTAAATAACACACTAAATTGTTAACTCAGTTCGGTGTACAATAACACTTACTCTGAAGGCTACCAAGCCAGGAAGGAAATCCATTATCAGTAGTATCAACTCAAAGCTTAATTTCTCCGTTTATAACTTCTCACTTAATCCCTACTCAATACAACTTCTACCTAAGAACTCCTAGATATGAGTATACCCACTCACTTCCAACCACCGCAACGATGTCTAACAGTCACAGTCCCAGTTACTGTATCTTTGGCCTTTCACCAAAATGAAGATCACACTTCAAATACAAAACCACCTTAATTAAGACACCCCTTAATTAAGAATAAAATACTTGATCTCACTTAAGAGCTTTGATCGAGAACAATACTTAGAGTTGCTTACAAGCTTCCTCCAAGAAAAATAACCATTATATGCTTAAAAGCTTAAGAATGAATAATAGAGAATTACAACTCTATAACAATAGTCATACTCTCATATCAACATGTTAATCGAGAGGCTCACACATACCAGCTCTCCTAGAGAATGGCTTACAAACTCAGCCCTAATAATAGAAACTTTTACATATTTGAGTGGTACCTTTCCTAAGTTACAAACACTTCTATTTATAACATGTTTCTCAACTGGATTTGAGCCTAAAAAACGCAGCAAGGAGACTGCACAAAGTCTACAAAAACTTCTCTGAGAAAATAGATCTCCAATCAAAACTTTCCTAAAATGTCTTCATATTTAGAAACTTTTAATATCTTGAATGTCAATATAAAATCTCTGAATTATCAATCTTGGATGCCACATAGGATTACTAAATATTTCCAGAAAATTCAGTAATTAAATCATAATAACTGAATCTAAATTGCTAGCTGTAGCAGACCTGATGTCCTATACTTCTCATTAGGACATCCCATTCGACATGTTCAAACAACAAGTTAAAATATCTTCCAAACTACAAAACTATAACAATCTAGATGTCTCACTCTTCTGGTTAGGACATCACATTCAACATATTGAAACTGCAAGTTGAAACATTTTCAAATTGTAACTGACCAGATGTCCTATACTTCTGGTTAGGACATCACATTCGACATGTTGAACCTGCAGGTTGAAACATCTTGTTCAATATTTTGCTACAAAGTTAGTTTTACCAAAATTCATGCCAATCATAATTTCAAAGAAATAATACCATTTGCCATCGTCTGACCTTCGTACACTCCCCAGAGTTCAACCACATACGCACAACAAACTCCAAGATTCTTTGCATAGCTACATATCCATTCTCATTTGCTTCCTTAAGTAATACCCACACAATTAGCTCTCCTGTCTTTCTTACAAGCTGCATCGATATTAAGTTTAACCCACCCCAAAGGTGGAGAATTCCAATTGATAATATGTTTCTCCCTATGTATCCTTATAATCATATTTTATACAAAAGTGACATTAGTTTAATCACGGGTTAACTTAGCAACAAAATTCACTGGATGAGTTGGTCTAACGTAATTCTCCTCATGTATCTCTCTATTTCTCCAACCCCAAATACTATGGAAAGCTAAGGCCCAAAAGCCTCTCCAATCACATCCTATTTCTTTTTTGGGAATTTATTTTCCCACTCTTAGGGTGTGACTCACACCTTTGAAAACTCAAAATTATTCTCAGATGTTTTCGATTATACATCTCCAAACACACCTTATATTACCTCATCCTTCTTAAATCAAGAAACCACCCCCTTTTTTCCAAAAAATTGTCCGGAGATACAACTTCAAATTTTATGAGGTGTATTTGGAAATGCATTTTGGAAAACACCATTGAGTGCACTTTAAGCAATTTAAATAAACATATTTCGGATATGCATCTCTGAAAACTTCCTTGCATGCATCTTGGGAAAAAAATTGTCCTAAGTTTGTTTTTTTGAATCCAAAGTCATTTTAATCCGACTAACAGTGCCACAATTTGATTTAAACATTAATAAAAAGCACAATATAGACCAAGGTAATGTATTAATTAAAAAACATTCCACAATATTACAAATATTGCTCTCAAAGTATAGAAAGTAATACTAAAACATCCTGAAATATTTAAAAAAAAAGCATAACCTACTACGTATACCTAATCCTGACCCCTAGCTTCTCCTCTGTCGCCGGTAACCCAAGGTATTACGTGACTCGATAAGAATGGCACTTGTGAGGGTAACTGCATCATCACCTCTCTCATATAGCCTAAATTATATGCCCTCATACATAATTTGTTTGACGGTGTGGCAAGTGATCGAGAGGGGGGGGGGGTGAATAGGTCACCTCTTTATTATTCAAGGATTTAAAATCTTTTATCATAGTTGATTAAAAATAGCGAAAAAACACGGTCCCGAATCGACTTCTGTCTATTTTGAACCGACAACTAGAAAACCTGACATACGATAAACTTGCTGGATTTTTATTAAGATGAAATAGATGAAATTTAACACAAATAAATGTATGTTTCAATGCGCTTATCACAAGAATGCTATTTCCAATAAACAAAAACTTTGCAAGCACTTTTGTCAGACAGTTGTCATATGCTTGTTCGATGATCAACAATAATGGTGGTTTAGCAAAAGAGTTTGTACCACTATTGCATCATTGAACAAAAAAACCCGCAGATAAATTGAATCACAAATGTGCAGAAAATGTAAAGAGAAAGAAAATGTTACACATGCAGTTTGGTAAGGAAGTTCCCCACTCACGTCCTCGCGTGTGGGTACGTCTCCCTCTCAATTCCAAACTGAAATTGAGACTTGTTATTTCAATGTTCTGAATGTTGTTTACAAGGTTACAATGCAAAGATAAAACCTAATCACTAATATCTTCTTATTCTTGTATGAACCTTCACTTGATATGAGTTGATCAAGATATCACCTGCAAGATCCACAGTCAATCCTCCGCTCCACGACCTGTTTGTGAAATTGCCCTAATTTCAAAACCTTACGCTACGGCTGAATCTGACATGTGTAATCGTGACTGACAAACCCACAAGAACACGCCCGTTCTTGAAGGACAAACCCTATGATTTTTCCTTGAAACCCCTTTCTGAATCTTCAACTCAGCTAAGACCATTGATCGTACCTCTGAACGTTATCTCTATGATCCCTTAATCTGATGAACAAAGATGATTATGTTTCGATGTTATTTAACCAAGATGATTGAGAAGATGATGAAGACTGAAGTCTCTTTTAGGTTTCTAATGCTCAGAAAAGTAGATGCTCACCCACT